AAAAAAAAAAAGGAAAGATATCTTAATCTTTGATGCTCTGCAGTGTTTGAGATTTAGGAAATGTTTGGCATGACTCTTCACACCTAAACTGCTAGTGAATGCACAGAGTTGGCAAAAAAAGATATCTGTGCATCCTGTTCATTGACATTGGCCATGGTTAATTTATTACTTTTTTTACATGGAAGTTGTTGTCCTGCTATTTGAAATCAGTAGTAGGTGGGATTAGATCAAATATTCTTAGGAGAAACCAACAATGAGAATTGTAGTCACACTAGAATGAGATAAAAATGTCCCATTACCAATTCTGTGTAATTAATAGCTGAATATGCTTCTTTGCAATTCCCATGTGCTGTGATAACAAAATGGTGTCATATGATACTAGAAGTAGAAGAGAAGCAGTCTTGTATGTTCTACAAACTGCTGTATGTGTGTAACTTGGTAGGGCCTGTTTGTTATTCTGCTAATGATGTGTTGGATTTTTACAGAAATGTTCTCACCCACATTACAAGCTCATTATGTCCTTGCCTGAGAACTACTGTTTAAAAAGATATGCATCAAGATACAGTGATGGGCTTATGAAATGGAGATTAAATTGTCATGGATATAGACAGGCTGGAGAATCAAGAGATTTTGCAACTTAAAAGAATTGTTGCTTAAAACCTCAAGTTAACCTACTTTAGAATTAGGACATATTTTAAACATGGACTATCTTCCTAATTGTAAATCATTTTATGCATGTATGTGTCTGTCAGAGAGGGAAAGAGAATATACAACCAGTCCTTCCATGGATCCAAGGATTCTTGGCTTCTGTGAATCATGTTATACTCACATGATTTAAAGAGGTTTATACATGATTTAAAGAAGTTTCTTCTGACACAATGTGAAAAGCTGGAAACCCCCTTGTGTTTGAGAGAAATGCTTGTGCAATACAAACATGAACAGCAGCTGTTTAAGAAATTCCTCAATGAAGACACTTTGAGATGTCTGGGACAGGAGTTAGAAGAGCCCCTGTGAGATAGTGCTAGTTTTAATTTGTCTGCTACTGTACATAATCTATTAAGGGCTTCTCTGCAGCCCACAGTGGGCAAAGCATAAGAAGTTGAAGGCATTGTCATGCCAGTTCTTGGCCCTAACACTAGACAAGGGTAGGCTCATCTGTGGGTACACTGTTGTGGCTTGTTTTTAATCACAACAGTGGGAAGTGGAATCAGTTTTCAAAACTGTGACATTCCTGAAGGGAATAGATAGATAGATAGATAGATAGATAGATAGATAGATAGATAGATAGATAGGCAGACAGATAGATGGATGTGTTCGATGAATGTCACAAGTGCCTGTACCACATAAAATCTCTGAAAAAATTTTGGCAATATACCCTTAAACATGTCATCTTGTGCAGTCTGAATTATATATGCATAATCAAATACTCAAAGTGGAAGTGGTTAAACATCAAAATCCAAATCAAATTAAGAAATGAAACAAGAAAATCCCAACTTGCAGAATGCCAACTACCCTGAGTGCCAGAGGAGGTAGGAGAAGCTGAGTACTTCTGTGCAGAGAACAGAGCTGTTAATGTGTGATGGCTCTGTGGTGTTTCTTAATCCCAGTTTTACAAGTTTGCTCTTCATTGTGGGTTTTAGGCTGAGCTGATTGGGGTAATTAATTCTGCACACTGTTTCATTGGCAACCACAGTGAACCTGGGTTCTCCTACTCTTGGGACTTGTCCTATATTACCTGCTTCATCAGAAGGAAATGCTAGTCGTATCCACTCAAAATGGGGCAATAGCATTAAAAAAAATTCCCACAACACTTTAGGTTCTGTAGTCTCCCAATACTCATGTTTTTTTTTTCAGAGGAATCTCCAGAATTAGTAGGAGTGAACACAAATTTAACTTCTTCATTCGTTTGCAAGTTCAGGGTAGCTGAGCAAAGCCAGCTATACTTAACATACTTCTGTCATCCTGGCAGAATTTCTAATTCCCTTCAGGCCGTGATGCTTTCTGGTGGTCACATCACGCATGACAGGACTCTGTTCATATTTTCCTTCACCAAAATAGCCCCCTTTTCTTTCCCCTTTGAACCTGCAGAAAGACCATCTCTCTACAAATAAGGCAGCAGCTGCATGGTTCATGGGGGGTGTGGGGGTGGGGGTGTGTGTTTGTGTTACTTTGGTGCAAATTCTAATGAATTCCATTTATAGAAAACAAATATGTGCTGTGCAGGAACAAACCATGTGAAAAAACTGTAGGAAAAAATCAGGAAGCTGCAAGCAATCATGAGAGCAATTGTGTATTAGCAATTAGAAGTAAATATAAACTTAAGCAAAAGAAATTATCACCAAGATGAAAAATGCAGGGCTAATTTTCCAGCTATAGACATCTATAACCTGAACTTTTTGCATTTAAAATACATATTAAATATATGTATTACATATAAATATAAAAATACATGCTTTTATTAATCAAATCACATAGATTTTGCTAAAGGACAAATTTGATATTAAGATGCCAGGGTACTGGCTGTTCACAAAGATATTTTTGGAACATTATAAGAAGCATTTAAAATCATCCCAACTATCTGGATTATTTTCTTAGTTTTTGGTTTCTGGATTGTACAGCTTCTAAGTCATACCTTTTCCATCTGAAGATTCTTTTTATAGGTGACTCAACTAACAGGGGGATGATGTATTATCTAATTGAAAGAGTGAATAAGACTCTTCAGGAATGGCAGAAGACTCATGATGTTAAATTTTATCACAATATCAATGAGGGGAAAACATTTATCAGTTACTCCTACTACCCCCAGTTCTGGATGAATGCAAACCAGAGACCGACTTTTGAGAAAGCACTGGAACAGCTCCTGCAGAGGTACTGGACAAACTCTGAATTTCCCTTGTTTGTATTATTGTTCTATTCACAAATGTGTTTAACACGTTTTACAATTAACGTCAGTAAACAATAAAACATAAGGTGCACAGATCATATTGTGGGGTTAAAAAATAGCTGAAAATTACATCAGGCCTCTGATCAGGGTGCCAGATACAATTCAGTGAAATGCAAAGCAATGTAGTCAAAATGTTTGCCATCTGTTTAAAGCAACATGTGTTGTTTTTCTTTTCTGGGTTTCAGATCACGTCCCCTGGAGAACACAGACCAGACCGTATTAATTGTAGGTGGTGTTCAGTGGCTTAATTCCAATCACCTTCAAATTATCCAAAAGGTGTTGAATAGGTAATGTTATGTACTTGGTATTATTCAAATTTTTGATATGATAAATTATGAGATACAACAAAAAATTTTAAATACAAACTTCTCCTTTTTTTCCATAGGCATGTATTTAAGTGACTGTGAAAAAAATAAAATATGCATTGTCTTTTGATGTGTCTGTTAAATAAAAAGTGTGTCCTTGTTTTTTTTTTGTTTTTTCTTTTAATTTGCACACAGGGAAAATCTATCAAATATCCTGGTAATTGTCAAATCCATAGGGATGGGCTTTCATCTTCCAGTGGATGGAATCCATTCTCTGTCACAGGTAAGCTACAGTACATGTTGAGTGCATTTTCATGGAAAACTTGTCATTTCATCATTGATTTTGCTGTCTGGTCTAAATATGTTACAACGTCTGCTGAGCACATTTTAAGTAGATCGAAGGAAGATTAATGTTTGTATTTGCTCATACTGCTTGATAGGGATTCAAACCAATTTCCTTATTTCATGGATTCTGCTGCAATCAGAGAACCATTTGAGATGCCATGCTTGGTCAGCTGTCCCAAGAACAGAAGAAGCTCCAATATGTATCCTGCTCCCAAAATTGAGAGATCGTGCTGGGGATAAGCAGACTGCTCCTCATACTACATTGCACATAGGCCCTCCCCAGGCTTCCTCCATGGTTACTGCTGGATCTGATTCACTTGTCTGGCTTACACAACTCAATAAATCTATCTTAATGCACCTGTGAAGCCAGAACATTACAGAGCAGCTGGAATGTACCAGTGAATCCATCCTGTTATTTGCATGTTAATCAGATGTTACAGTCCGTTTAAACCATATCCAAGACTCTCAGGGTAACAGATGTGCTCATTTCAATGCAGTGTGCAACACACTCAATTCACTATTTTTATTTACAATTTGGATAGTGATTCTCTATTGAACACACACAAAATGCATGGATGAGAAGCACTGGAAGGCAGAACGCAATAAATGATGCCTACCAGTGCTATGTGTCATGCTCTAGCTATTTCCAGGTGTTGAAAAGAGAAAATTACTGCCTTTCACAGATTACAGCACTCCTTGAGCACTGGGGACTAGCGCCCACATCTTTTTGCAACCATAACACACTGCTGCATTCAGCGTGTGACTTCCTGCTCCTCTCACCCTTCTCTTTGCTACAGAGACTGCCCTGTCTGATTTTGCCCATTCTTTCTAAGTTAGTACTGCCTATCAGCCTTGTCTCTATTGAATGTCTTCTTATTGATTCAAACAATTTTCTTAACTATCTGGAGGACTTAAATAGAATAAAGTAAGGAAATTATTGTCATCAACATGAAGAAACATTTTCATAGCTCCTATCATAGTTTCTAGCAAAATTCAATCCTAGGATGAAGAGCTTCAATAAAGGGTATGTGAGGCAAGGATTGAGTATTAAAGGCTTTCTAAGAATTTTTCTTTTTCTTCTTCATTAAATTTACAAAACTCCAGAAATCAGCTACGGTGCATAACCAACATTCTTTTCCCTTTCAGTATTGGAATCATATCCCAAATTACCCATTAGGTTTGTATGCTCTAGGCTTCAGGATTATCCCAGCTACTCTCAAAGGCCTTTTGTCTGCCATGTCGAATCCACTGCCTTGCCAGCTTTATGGCTAACTTTTTTTTCTATTCTTGGTCTTTCTGAAGTATATTCAGAAATAATAATCTGTTCTTCAGTATAACCATATTTAAGATACCTATGATCCTATAGTCCCTTTTAAACAACTGCCTCAGTGAATTTGATTTGAAGATGAATTTTTCTTTAAAGCAGCATTTTCACCATTTGTTACATACAAACTTTATAATTGGAATTTTTTTCTGAATTACATCTTATATTAGTGAAGTACATGTTAAAAACCATTACTCAAGAATTGTGTTTTAAAGAGTCTTTAAATACTTCCTATAAAGGAAGCTGCACATCTACTGAAAAGTAATTATAGTTTCTGAAAAAAATACCTACATCAGTCTTGGACTAGTAGCTTTTTTGAGAGTGAATTTATAATAATTCATGTCTGTAGTATGATGCAATTGCTTATTCAAAATGCAGTTTTGTTATTTTTTTCCATGACACAATAACCTTTTAACAGTCCTTCTGACAAGACATTGCAACATTTTATCTGGAATGCAGGCAGAAGTGCAAAACTTGTGGAATGAAAACTTGATTATTCTGGATACAGCAAAAAATTTGGGCTATGAAGTGGTTGACACCTTTGTCATCACCATGGGACGTTACAAGGAATTCCTGCAAGGGAAGTGCGGCTGCCATTTCCATGAGGTAATAGTTTACGCTTATATAATTCCCAGGTATTTAAGATATTTTAACTGTGAGATCTTAGAAACAAGAAGGTACATGCTGAGGTCAGCATCTGTTGGTCAAAATTAGGCCTGAATACAAATTGTGGGGAAAGCAGTTTGTATGGTGTCACTTGTCCATCACTGCTCCCAGTGCAAGGCCACCCAAGGACATGCTGAACTGTTGTCATGATGAAATAGAAATTAACGTACCCTTCTGCAAATGTAACTCATATAAGAGGATGTTGCACAGTTTCCTGGTTCTTGTTATTTGTTACATGTTATATAACTCTGCTGCTTCTGCATGGACTGTTTCTCTTTTTACTCAGTCTCATGGGTTTTTGACTGATGCATTCCTAACTGAACAGCTCAGCACACTCACATCAAACCATAAGTACAATTAAAATGGAACTTAAAATTGAAGAACCAATCTTACTGCTGTATATCTCTTTTCCTATATCTGAGAAAAAATAATCTGGAATAGTTACAGTGATCCACTGTACAAGCAGAAGTGTAGATTGCTTGTTCTCCCTCACACTGGTAGTCCTGCTTTCTTGACTGAAATCTATAGAATTTTTTAGGAGTGTTATCAGACTCATGTGAGCTCATGTGCCATGCATCAACCACACAGCTGCTTTCCATCTCAGGCTCCATGGCAGCTCACATATTTTCAGGCCAGTGCCCTGGCCTCTATCCTGCTTTGGGGCCAACATCAGCAGGTGTGGTTAGTTAACCAGTCCTCTGATCCACTCTGCTCAGTACTTGAGAGGCACAAACATTGCTCAGTCCAAATGAAGCTGGAAAGGAGGGAGTAAGTCACAGAGTAGATATTTATGTGATTGATAAATAGTCCCATGGAGCAAATGCTTCCCTCTTTATCCAGGCAGTTGTATTCGCCCTTTTTTATCTAGAGTGCAGATGCTGATGTTTTTGTGGGTCATTGCTGATGTTTGCCAATTCCACAGACCTTGTGAGTGAAACAGAGAACTTCAAAATTAAATATTTCAAATGCTTTGTATGGAACACGGTGGAGAAAACAGCAGGGTGTGATCAGTCATCTGCATTTTTCATGTACTGCTCCATCATTTTGTATGAGCTCATGTGCAGATTTGGTCTTGCTTCTCTGCTGAAGGAATCTCAACAGAGTATGTGTTTCTTCAGGAGAGAATTTGGGTCACAGAGGTTTATTAATGAGTCTTGAGAGGTCATTGTGCCTGGAAGAGCCACAGATATGCCCAGTAGAATCAATCATGCACCAAAAGCCCAACTTGATCCTTGAGGAAAGCAAAAAGAAAGTCCTTGAGTTATTTTGATACCTCATTAGTTTTAATAGTTTTGTCATCAACTTATTTCTGTATCCTGGCAAGTGGAGTTTCATTAGGTGCTGAAGCAGTTTGCACAAGGAAAATGGCATCTTGCCCCCAAGAACAGAGCCAAGGGGTTTCCCAACACTGTGGGAAACTCCAGCACTTTCCATGTTTTCTGAAACCAGATGAGATAGATTAAATCTCGTGCTTTGCCCTTTCACTTTCTTTCTCTTAAAAACTGACATTCCTAAAGTATCAGAAGATGGCACTCCTATGTAAATGACATCTGAGCTAAAGCATGGCTGTGCAGGAATGGAGGACTGGCCATTCTGTGAAGTCAGAAAACAAGAACTGAAATGCCTTCAGCAGTTCTCGTTTAGCTCCCATTAGCTGGCTGAAGAGAAAGCTATTTCCTCTGAATTGTCTGAAGAATTGGGTTCCCACCAACCCATTTCAGAGAGTCTCAGGTGACCATGATAGCATAGAAAATCTCCATCTCTGTAGACTCTACAGTCTTTGCTCAGATTTCTAAGGGATCTGGATTTTCAAAGGTATTATACTGAGCTGGGACAAAATATCTTGCATAATCCTGGCACTTTATGCCAAACATAATTCTAGTTATATGCCCACATGAGAATTTGATTTTTTATCTACCTCATTCTTTGAAAATGCTTATGGACATTGGTCAGCACTATACAAATATTACAAAAGCTATTTTTAAATTCAGATTGATTTGCTATTTTAATGGCAGTGAAATAATAACCACTACACAGAAATTAGCAACCTTGGGATTTTTGTATCTTAATAGGTGGCTGGCTGCTGGTGGCTGGGTGAACATTATAGTGCATTCCTGGGAGATTATGCCTAACAGGAATGCAGTTTGGGTGATTGGTTCAAGGTGGCATCATTTTGAAATAATTTTAAGATCTAAGGCACTAATTTAGAAAAATGAACCGACAGTAATTGCATGAAAATAAATAATAGCCCTTGGCTTAGCTGTATGAAATTGACCAGAGGATATATTAATTTTCTACATGGATAATTCCTGGTCTGTTTTCGGTTCTGCCAGCTCCCTCAAAGTCTTTCTGCTCAGTCTTTCAGGTCTTTGCACATGTTATTTCTTCACTCACACCTAATTTTGTATGATTTATTTCATTTATTTTGAGCTTCACAGCATATGAGTGTTGATTCTGATTGTTCAGTGACAGTAAATATACATTATATTTTTAAAAGCTAACATGCTTCTGCATAAATATATGCATTAATAAATGAATTCTGCATTTCCAAGTGTCTACTGTGATTGATACAGCAGGAAAACTGATAGGCATCAGAGCTATTACATCAGCATACATATAGTATTTTAAAAATAAGTTGACCACCTTTTCTGCATTCTTTGGGTTTGCCACTGCCTGGGCTGTGGTCCTCTCTCCTTCATATGTGCAAGGTTCTAAAGTTCTGTCTCGCTCAAAGCTGCTTCATTATTCATCAGTGACTGAGTATTCGAGACAAGACCTTCAGCATTTAATTGGAGATCAGCCCCAGTCGTTAAAATCCTGACAACCGTACCTTTCACTTTCTCACTTGTTAGTCCCATGAGCAGTTTTGTTCCATACAAGTTGAACATGAGAATCCCAGAACTTCATACATATTTCAGGGGCCAAAGTGAAGCATTCTTCAACACTAAGTTACTGAATTATGTTGTGGTTCTGTCCATGTGGTGTCCTGGGGAGAGGGATGTTAAATTGTGCCATTACTCCCTTCTTGAAGAAACACAACACACAAAGGTTTTCATCTCAGTGTGGGGCTGGGCTACATTTGCATCAAGATGTCAGAATGAGGCATTCTCACAGAAGTCATAGCTGAGACATGTTTTATGTGCTTCAAGTGCTTGGTATCAGATCAAGATTTAAAATTTTCTGCAATTTGGAGCAGTCATGAGTCTTGTTTTAGGTAAATTGTCTCTAATGAAGAGAACACAGTCTAATACACAAAGGCATTACAAAGTCAAACGACTGGGTATAATGGGCCTATGCATGTAGATTTCAAAATTAAGATCTTGCTTTTTGGTTAGTTTGCAACATAACAAGTTGGCCATCAAAACAATGTTTATGAGCAACTTGAACCTCAATGTAAGGCACCTCAGGACCTGCTTCATGGGCAACTGCCTCAGCATTTCTGCACACACAGCTGTGTGTCTGTCTTTCTAGGTGCAGGCAGAAAGCACTCACATATGTCATTTCTTTTGCAGGTGGTGAAATCCAATCCCTCTGAAGAAAGGTCACACATAGCAATGACATTATCAAGGCACTATACGCTGGGGAAATATTTCAGCAGTCAAAGCAAACCATCACAACTGCAGGACCATGCAACAGATTCTCAGTCCCCATATCATGTCCAAGGTCCAATAAATCAAGTTTATTCTGAAATCCTTCTCAGCAGGCTCTGTGCAAGTAAGAGGGAGTTTGTCAGCACATAGCCTCTCTTGGATGTAGCACTGAGACTGGAGAAGTGCCACTGCCTCAGTGACAATTGAAGGATCACGGTGGTCCTTGACTGACTGCATACACACAAAGAGAGTTTGGGACATGTGGTATTTTCTCAAGAACCTTATGAAATTAAGATATGCCCTGGTGACTCTGTTGTGTAAAAGTGGAAGATGGAGGGTTGCAAAGGAAAGAAGAGGGGAAGTTGTTTGAACTGTTGCCAAAGACTAGAACAGCTGTAGTTCAAGCACGTGTGTATTATTGATAGTAAAAAGAGACCTGTATATTCACTTGAACATTTGGAAAGGGCTGTTTTAGGTCTTCAGCACTATGTAGTTTTTATTTATACAGACACTGTAATATTTGAATGTATTTAGAAACTGACTACATTCCGTTTGATTAAGTTTTATGTTATGTGGACATGTTTCCCTCCCATATTAAACCTTTTCTGTCTAGACACTTAATTTATAGAATTTGAAAATGTCTGTTATCATTTTACTGATGATGCTGAGTTTTGAACTCTAGTGTTTTTAGTGAAAACACATCTCTTCTTTTTATCTGAGATGGAACAGATATCTACTCTATTTTTTCACATGTTCTGAAGCTAATAGGGAGATAGATTACCTATACTTGAGATTGATTGAAACTGTCTCAATGTAACATGTAAATATAGTGGATTTGTTAACATTAATTTATTTATGATCCCAGTTTAGGAGAGTGTCCATATGCAGGAAGAATGCTTAGATAAGTGCTTTAGTGTCTGCCTTGGCCTGTAAGCCAATCAAGTATTCTTCCTGCAAAGAATGCCATTTTTTAAATGATTTTTTATAAAATACTTGCCCATATGTGAAGCCAGAACCACAGACATAACAAAAATCCCCCTGCAAGCACACATAAGATTTTCAGGATCTGGTAATTTATCAATCATAAGAAGTGTGTGATGTGATGGCAGCAGAATATACTGCCAGCATTTCTTGCTTGGCACAGACAAGACCTTCTCTGAAAGCCAGTTTCAGTTCAGACCTTCTCTGAACTGCAGTTTCATGCTGCAGCCCAGCTACATCCCCAGTGTTTGCAGACCTTCTTTGGGTGACACCCCAGGGAGAAGCTGTGTGTTGGTCCCCTCCCACAGTGCTGGCAGCCCACTCATTCACAGCTGTGGTACCCGATGAGAAACTGTGCATGGCCCAGGATTAGCTGGGTGACAGGTTAGTGGCAACCCATAGGACTGCTGTTCCTAAAAAATTATCCAGTTATGGATTTTTATTCATCCAGTCACAAAGCAGGCAACCAAGGCACCACTCTACCACCATGCATTGAAGAAGGGTGCTTTAACCAGGCAGGTGCAAGTCTAACAAAGGATCTGCTGAGTTCTGTGTACTGTCACAGTTTTACATATAATCCTCCACTAGCTTCTTCTTTGGGAAAAGAAGCCACAAACAATGTCAGGGAATAAACAAATTATAGCAAGGAGCTACTCATCATCTTATTTGCCTTAGTAGCACACAGGGGGGCTGCCCTGTATAGAAGTAGGGCTAGTAATTAATAACACAACATTTAGTATTTGCCTAAGATGGTCTATCTATCCACAGTTTGTGTGCCCAGCTGTAGTTTTGTGAATTTGTGCTTTTTCAGTTAAGATATGTAAAGTTATAATAGGAAATTGTCATGCAATATGGAGTTTGGCATCCTAGGTGATGAAGAGTCTTCTCCAAAATAGGATCTGGCATACCTAATTTAAAGCACCTTTCACTATATTGAAAAAGCTCCTAACTTAGATAATGACAAAATTAGTGAGATGGTATGATTGTATCTGTTTCTGTATAATTCGCTGCTGATTGCTTACAGCAAGTATCCCCAACTTTCAGTGTAAGTTTCCCTGGCATGGAGATCTACATGAAAGATGGGTCAGGAGCTGTGCATAAATACTGAAAATATCAGCATTTGGTTTGAGTAGTATGATTATCTAAAGAATATAACTGTATGCAAATGATGTAATATATTCTCTTGGGTGTGGAAATCCAGGGCTGCACAACCTTAAAGCTGAAGGATAGAATGTCATCATTAATATTAGTAGATGCAAAATGCAGCCAGATGTCTTTGGTATTAAGATGATCGATGATAGGTATATTACAGTTCTGCTTCTGATAAGACTTTTTTTTTAGCTCATTTAAATCTGCATGCTGTTACTGTTATTGTTCTGTACACAAATGTTTTTAAGACATTAACTGGGCTTTTATGTTTTTTTGTTTCTTTTTTTTAGCTAAAACCTATTGCTGAAGCATTAGCTTAGTGATGAAAAGAGCTGACTTTGTTATACTGTAGTGGATATCAGTGAATGTGCAATTCATCAGTTCTGGTTTCACCACAAAATGGTTTACATGTGCTGTACACCCAGATGTCTTAATGTTTTCCAAATCTTGATATTTTTCAAATGTATTGTGTATATTTTCCTGTGTGTTTTCTATTTTTTACATGTCTATGTACATTAATATGTCTGTACAAAGTCATTGGTACAATTTGCAAATTGATCTTTATTTAAACAAGTTCTTTGAATAAGCTGTTTCCAACACTGTATAATCCACATAGTTTTAGGAATAAACAAAGGATACTAAGCTACATTTTTGTTATTTAACTTTAAAATATATCTAGTATCTCTATGCATGTGAAAGATGAGAGTTGAGATTCACATGCAAGTGTTGCTTGATCATATGATTAAAATTTATGGATTAAGACAATAAAAGGATCACTATATTGGAATTCCAGTGAGAGCACATATTGCTATCTACAGTTTACTCTAGAATTATTGCATCTGCTGTGACATTTTGCCTGAATAAACATTAAAGTGCTCCTATAGTCTATATATCTACCTTAGTCCCTTTATTTACCATTAAAATAGCAAAGGACTTAGTCATAAGGTTGAGTTCCACCTCCTAATACAGACATGAGTGGCCCTGGAATTGGTGGTAGGAGTGAAATATTTAGGCTGGGGAACAAGTACTCTGAGAATTGGGGTTTCCTGCTCAGTGTGTGCCCAGCAGCATGCAGAGCTTAGAACAGAACTAGGGCATACTTTAAGCTACAGATAGAGTAAGAGGGTAACTGTGTTGCAAAATAAATACTCTGATATACAGAGGAGTAGTCTCAGTTATTACTGCATGCCTTTAATGGAAGCTGGAGCACGATTTACCAGTGTCCAGTGAGGTGCAACTCCTCACCTCTCATATAACTCCACAGATGTTGAACAGTTGTTGAACAGTGAATTGGGTTAGAGCAGAGTACGTGGCCACCATGATTAAGTCCATCATAATAAATATCTTCAGAATAACTGGCTGACTTTGTAATAAAAAATATTTCCCTTTTTGTAGGGAAATGCCTTGACAAGTCCTCTCTGTCATCAGAGTTGCCAGATTTCAGGGAGTGAAAGAATTGACTACAAATAAAACATTTATTCTTGGTCTTCATTTGAAAATTATTATCTTCAGAATAATCTCTTTCACACTGTTAGATACAAGGCTTTTATTTTTCTCTTCTGTGACACATTAAAGGGACATCAAAGTAAGTTTATTTGCTTAGTGGGTGGGGTAGCAAGGCATCAAATTACCTCAAGGTTGAAATAACCACTAATAGTTATGATTCTGTTGCTATGTTGAGCCAAAGAGAATGCTTTGAAGATGCAGATATGTGTGATATTAAGTTGACTGCAGTCCAGGGATCTTCAGATTTCTCTTTTAGAATAAAGCAGTTTTTAGAGGTGCACTGAACTATTTGGCATAGACCCAAACTGCTAAACAAGTCTCTGTAGGGTCACATGAAAAATATGGTCTTACTCTCTTGTTTGCCTGCTAGCTTTGCATCTGGCTTGTCTTACCTCACTGGCTATCTGCACCTGCTCCACTCCACATCTGCCTTTCTTTCAGATCATCTTAGAAATTTGTGTTTTGCCAGACTAGCAGCTGCTGGAAATCTGAGATACAATTGTTGCAAATTCAGTCTCAATATTCAAAATATATTTTTGTCAAGTCCAAAAGCACTAGAATATAGCAGAGGTAGAGCAAGCCTCTTATCTAGAGCAGTGATTTTCTCTGATGAATTTAAAACAGCTGTGTTGTATTAAGTAGTTTTCACTAGCCCTTAGCTCTTAAAGGAGCTTGCCTCTACCAAGCAAAAATCTATCTTTCAAACTCCATTGCTATCTTTACCTGTGTAAATCTCCCAAACACCAGAACAGTCTGTGTAAAATGCAGGCATAGATATTTTAGGGTGCTGGTACATATCCTGAAGTATTTGCTGGTACCTTCACATTGAACAGAAAAGCTCTGACTACACAGTAAAAAGATGCTGTGCATTTTAGGCTTACTTGCCTGTGATTAGATTGTACTAAAAATAGTGCTGCATGTCAGTCTAGGCCAGCACCTGGAACTAAGTGTCCTAGAAAACTGCTCAAGTCATTAACTGCAATGGTCAAGATGAGCCTGTGGGGTCACAACAGGGTCTTCTGCAGCACAAGTTTCTGTTGTGATGGACTTCTCCCATTTCTATGTTTTTTCATCTGACTGTTGGGCCAACTCTTGGCACCTATGGGCAGCCCTTCCTGCAATCCCTCAAGCATGGTCAACAGCCTTGGCAAGGGACATCACACTAAGCAGCACTGAACTGAAGATCAATCATATGTTTAAATAAAATCTGAGGTCTTTATGAAACACGGCATCCATTAAGCATTACCTTCATTTCCTCTAGTACTGAACTTCCCTAATGAGGAGCAGGATTCACTCCCTTTCAGCTGAAACTCAAATACCAAGGTTTTTTCCCAGCTTTTGACAAACCTTTTTTTTCCCACTGCTTGCTTCCCTGAAATGAAGGGAGTGAACTGCTCTGCATGCTCCTGCCTAACAGTGCATGTGCTCACCCAGGCACTGCAGTGGGCATTTCCCTCCCATACCTCATAGTGGGGACTACCTTCCCACAGCAGAGAGTGATTTCAATCCTGTGATTTTTTTCCCTGTTTTGAGCAGTGACAGTCTATGTGGTTAAAACAGACAGCTCAGTGTCTGCCAGCACCACCTGCCCCTGGACTGCTCTAAGGACGCTGAGTAGACTCTGGGTGAAGACAAGACTGCAGAACTAAAATCCTTGAGTAAGGAATGAAAATTACTCAGACGCCTCTTGACAAAGTCAGGGCAGTTAAGAAGAACTCACTGCAGATCAAGTGTGTGAAATTAATGTTGTCAGGAGCCCTTTAAAGTTAGTAAATTATATGGATTATTGTGAGGGTTGGAAGACCAGATCTGTGTTTGGCAGTTTCTCACTTGCCATGTTCCAAAAACATATTTTATATTTTCTTTTGTTCCTGTCATTATCGACTTCCATATTTCTTTTATGAATCTGTGGGACTAAGAAGTTTGAAGTAATATTTCTACTCTGCCTGATAATGATTGTGCAACCTCCCCAGATGTTAGTCAAATCATTTAACAGATGAGGGAAGTTTTATTACTTCTGAATGGTATTTTTCCTTCCATATGCTAGCTCAAAGGTTTCTTTATATTTACAGATTACAATTCTAAGATGATTTTTGTTGACTGATGCGGGTTTTTTAGCTCAGGGCCTTTGTTGAGCTTTCTTTGCAGCAAATGGTATCTATTAGCTACTGTAAAATCCTGTTTCAACATCCTTTCACACTGTGTCCTGCCCAGTACTTATAAAACACATACATACAATGGGATTTACTGCTGATGGTAAAAGGTTAAAACATAACAGGTCTTACTGCTCCACCCATTACAGTTCCCTAAATTCTACATTGCGTCATTTCTGTGCAATAACAAGGACTCGGGGTCTAGTAATCTCTTAATGCAGGGCTCCTCAGTCTCTAGAACAGTTCAGATCTGTAGTCCTGATGGAATTATCAAAATAACACACCTTCAGCTGTGAAATGCATACAGCAGAGCCTGCAGGCATATTCAAAACTTGCCTGTTGGATCAAGGCCAGCTTGGAAGTCAAGGACAACAGCTTCTAGAAACTGTTCTCAGGCACCAAAAGCTGCTTTCCTGCTTAACTGTACATATTTAACAGAGACATTGAAATTATGATTATGGTGACATTTGGCTT